CTGGAGTTCAGACGTGTGCTCTTCCGATCTATTTATTAAGTATCTCCGGTAAATATTTTGATAATACGGATATGTAGATAACGTATGTACAAATGAGGATAGCATATATGGACACACAAACTTGTCCTTTTGGGGATATCCCTATAGTGTCCACAAATGTATATCTTATGGACAGCTTGTAAGGCTCATGAATATCCCGACCAGAAATGGACATAAAACGGATGTCTATAGGATATCCTGTGCTGTCTGGGAATATTGCTTGGTAATTTTTGATTGAGTGTCTGTACTCGCCTCCACACAACACATGGACGTCTTCGGGACGTACTATATATGTCCTGAAAAGTCCTTTTTACGATGTTGGTTCTTGGATGTTCGCAGGACGTCCGAAGGACGTTTTATGAACGTCCTACAATATCGTTCACGACTATTATGCGAAAATAAGACATTTTGAAGATGTCCTGAAAACATCTATAAGATGTCCGTTATTGAAATCCCGAAAACGTTTGTTGTACGATCTGAGAACGTCTATTGTATGTCTCGAAAACGTCTGTTATTGACGTCCCGAGAACGTTCACTATATATCTCGAGAATGTTCTTTGTTTTTAGACAAGACGTCAAACGCGACGTCGCGCGATAAAGCTGCAGCGCCGAACTCGGCTATTACTTTGTTTATTGAAAGCGGTGCTTTCTTTGTTGTCTGTCACTTACCGCTTCGCTTGGCAACGCGGAATGCATGGAATGCATGGAACTGCGTAGTGGGCCCACTAATATTATATATACGTAACAACAAGGATATATACAATAATGACACATAAGGACACATTATATTTTCGAACTATACGCGCGTAATCTCACATAAGAACGCATCTTGACGCGACAGTCGCTCGCTTTGGGCGTTGTGAATGCGCCTTGGCAGACAATCTGAATAAGAATAAGAAAAATATGACGAAAACTGGAATCGCCAAAGTCGCATTTTCGTAGATCCGATTTCGAGATCTCGGAATTGACTGCATCGATTTCATTTGAACTGGTTTCAATCGAAAGCTCATATCGACATTATATGACGAAAGTCATATTAGTCATTAGATTTTTCATTAGAACTTTCGTTCCCGAGATATTGAAATCGGAAGTTTGACAAGACAAAACTTCCAGATAAAGCTAGCGGTAGCGCTTGGACAGTGCCAGAGTGCCGTATACTCACAGGTCATTACCCGACTTTTAT